ATTTGTGTATACCAGTTGTAGGCTAAGAAGCCAATGTTGCTGGGGCAGTTGTTGCCAATGCCAGAAACAAATTGGGCTGGAGTCAGCATCATGCTGGCATAGAGCAGCCACCTGTTGGTGACGCTGAACCCCTGTACGACCTGGTTTGTAGTCATTTTGACACCGAGCCAACTCAGGGCAATTAACTAGTTAGCTCCGGGGAAGCCAAAGCAGGAGGTCTGTCAGGCAACCAGCCACTATAAAGGCTATCTATGAGGAGATATTAGCTATGGTTTTTTAAAACACAGGCTTTGTAGAACAAGATTCATGCATACAGTAAGCAATCAATTGGACGACGGTATGGAGAAGTGAAGCAGTGTTGGCGCCTATAGGATCTTGTCAAGGCCGTCCTTGACCAAGGGAAGGTCAAGCTTTTATCCCCAGGCCCCTGAAGAGCCGCATCGCGTCCTATGAAGAGCGAGGCTGAGCTCCTCGTGTCCTCCATTCTTTACTGGCTGCGGATTTGCCGAGACTGCAGCTTAAGCGACTGAAGCCCTGTCACCGGACCCTGTTGCTCGTCTGTGCCTTCGCCCCGTCCCGACATCGTTTTAGCGCAGCCATAAATAGAAACAGGCGGGAAGCCCTGAGCTGCGAAGCGAGCTGGTGATTTGCTGGAAACTGGTAGTACGCTTAGCTCATTTTAGGGGTGAAAATGTCCAGTCCAGGATTGATGCAGCTAAAATGTCGAGAGCCTGGCTAAGTGGCGAGCATTTGTAGCTCGATAGGGGGTATATTTGCCTCTTGATAGTTAGTTGACTCATGTTCTGCAGAGCCTCGCCTACCCTTGTCGGAGCTAAGTAACTAACCAGATGTTACATTCATTCTTCAAGCGAAGAAACCAACAAGTTGCGTAACCCTGTTAGATGGTTAGCTGGTTACCAAGATAAGTCGTTGGATAGTCGATAGTTAGCTAACCCTGGGGCTCTGGGGTTGGTACATTTCCTTGCCTGAAAAGGATCCAACAACGTTTTTTCATCGAACTTACTCCTTGATGTTTCAAATAGTTTGAATAAGTAAATAAATCAGATTTGATTAGATTAAAGGAACTTTTAATTAGCAAGGACCGAGCATGAATCAAGACACAAAAAGATCGATATCCGGGTAGAACCGCCGTTGAATAAACAATATTCAACTCCAAGCCTACCCTTGTGTTTGTTGTTGGTATGAAATAATAATATATAAAAAACCCCTGGCCGAACCTATCCCAGCCAACTCAATGCACCAAAAAAGCACTATACAAAAAGAGAGATAGAGAGAGAAAGATGACATCGAACGCTTGCTAGGCGGGGAAAAGAAAGTATTAAATAAAGAATCAGCCAAGGGAAGGAGGCTTGGGAAGCAGGAAAAAGAAGGCCGTAGATCAAAAACCAAATAACAACGCCTATCCAAACTGACAGGTTGGGTATTTTGCAAGCGGATTTGGGCCACGGGGCCCTGTATAGAGTATATTTATTGCTGAGCGAATACTTTTGAGCGAATTTTTTTCAGCAGTGGTGCTCATGCATGTTACCTGCAGGTAAAGGCTGGGAAGGTCTTGCGATCCGGAATATTGATATGGTATTCGAATATTCCCTGCACGGTGCCAATATATCTTTACCGAGAGTTAGCATTTCGATTCGATAAAGGAGGACAACGCCAAAGGGAAACTCACAAAGTCCGCCCATCATCACTCCATCCGACACCAGCAGTTCCCACACCCCATCCTGATTCTCGACCGCCGTAAATTTCTCCAGAAAGATTCCGGATTCTAGGGCTTGCTCGAATGTTATCGAGCTCCAACACACGGCGGTATTGTTGTTCCCATTCACTGAGCCGCTGGTTTTCTTCCACAGCGGCCTGTCGTTGGGCTCGTAGGCGCTCTGCAGCTAACGTAGATCTTAGTTCGGAGTCCATTGTATTACGTGGGTCGAGACGCTCACCAGGGACACGAGTGGGCCTATCAGCACGGCGGGGGATTGACCGTGAGCGTGCAAGCCGCTGGCGTTGTCCTGTATTGGGCCGGCTACTACTCGACGATGTATCCTCCGGCTGCTGTGCTCTAGATCCACGATGGGTAGAGTTAGACGGGCCGGTCTGCACGCCGTCTTCGTTAGGTGATGGGATGCGCGGGAAGTCTTCCTCCATACTCAGATTGTCTGTCTCATCGTTAGGTGCTGGGACTTGATTAGGTGAGTAAGGCCACCTCAATGACATGCCTGGGTGAGGGATTAGTGCGGAAGATGTATGCACGGTTGGACGGGACGAGCTGTCCTGAGATAGGATGACGGAGTTGCGTCTCCGAGGGGCCCCTGTTCGGGGCCTTTCGGAGTTGCGAGATGGCTCATTGCGAGTTATATAATGATCTGGAGGTGGAGGAGGGGGCGGTGGAGGCGGCGATGCGCCTAAATACTGACTTGAGGGCCGCTGCTGGTAAGAATAAGAGGGATTGGGTAGAGGACTAATTAGATGCGGCAGCCTCTGGGGACCTTCTTCAATAGAAGACGCCCAACGAGCTGTATTCAAGAAATCGATAATCTGTCTCTCGCGTGCAGTTAGATCACGGGCCAAACTATCTCGCATTACTTGTGACTCTGCCTCGATTGCCGCTCCCCGACGTCGGTGGCGGTTAGAGTCAATGGCTCGCTGTAATGCCTCCTCGGCTTCATTTAATCTGGAATGGGTTGCACCATTCTCTGGTCTGTGAATATCACCATCCAAATCGAGGTCCGATTCCGGTTTGTCGAGATTGTCTGTTTTGACACGTTCAAGACTCGGCTCGTCTACATCGAGAGTTATAATCTGGCGCCTGGAAAAACCCTGGCGAACATCCGCTATACCAAAGCGTCCATGATCTTCAACCCAAACTAAGAGGTCCCAGGGCTGAGGAGAAAACGACATGCAGCGAATAGCACCACCGTCAAAGCAGGATCTGGAGGATCTAAAGACACAAAATATATCTTCACGTCCAGATCTTCCATCTGGATCATCATTGAATATGTCTTTGACGCTAAATACCGTGATGACACCAGCCTGAGATGCAACTGCACAAAGGTGGCTGGAAGGAGAAAATGCGACGGTGAAGCAATATCGGTCGTCATAGTGAGGATCGGAATCGAGCTCCACGCTTCGAAGGAGCGGCCAAGTCCATTCTCGGAGCAGTTTACCACCGTCGGTTGAAACGGCATTCTGTTTATCCGGGGAAGGAATAGCTCGGTAGAAATACACTCGATTCTCATCGCCTACTGCCGCAAGCAGCTTTGAGTTGGGGGAAATAATGGCAAAGTTCATGCATACGGGATGACGGATTGTCTCGATAACTTCCATTCGCGGTAGTGAGAAGATGCTCACGGTGGTATCATTATTGCTATATAGAGAAGTCAGCTTTGGTATCCTGACAAGAGTAAATAAAAAGGAGATACAGACTGATGCCAGGCTTACCTGAGAACTGCGATATCTTCATCGACGAATTCATCTCCGTTGGCTGGAAGACGATGAAGAGTCACAGAATTGACGATACTTCCCCCGAGCTCACGTACACTGACATCTATATAACGAGTTAGAATCCCATGTCAGGGGAGGAATACAATATATACGGACAGTGCTCACTAGGCGGATAGGGGAGTGCCCTCCTCGATAACGAGGAATCAAAGTCAAGCGGAAGAGGAGAGTCAACATCGGCAGGCGAGCCAGGCCTAGCAGGCTCCGACAGAGGAGAGGCCGCATCCAGCTTAATGAAGGCACAATCTCCGCTCTCCGTGCCGCCTACGCCAATCCATCCATTTCCGGCGGTAAGGCATTTTGGATCGAATGGGACAATGGTGAGGATCTCTCTCTTGCGTGACGAGATGTGGATGGCGTATATTATCCTCCCGACGGCTACATATATCCTATCTGGATCGACTGTGCTGATATAATGGCGAAGCTGGTGGTGTCTAAATCCAGGAGAAGGGGTAGAAAAGTCAATAAAACTAGTTCCTCAAAACATCACTTCTACACACTAATTGCAACATCTCTCAAAACGCCAGCACGTAAAAGGAGGATATGGTCACTGACGTATTGGGGATTTTAAAGGGGAAGAAGCGTCGGCCGCCGGGTAGGAGAAGGGCTTCAGTGGGTCGATGCCTGCACACAAATGACCGCCGTTAGCAAGGGGCCTGCAAGTGGCCAAACGGCCCGCGGGGAGACACAGCTGCGGGAGACGCACAGTAACTCGGTATCAAGGGCCATGATAGACGGGCGGATGGGAGCACATGGAGGGGGGGATTTGTCTCGCCGGCTCTAGGCAAGTCTCTCGCGTGCCAGGCTCAAGCTGGCGGCCCGCGCAAACCAGACTCGTGGGCCGGCTGAATGCAGCAGCTGGGCAAAACAATCGTCTGCGAGCGGCTGCCCGTGTCTCAGGCTGGCCGTCTGTCTGTTGTCGGCTGTCTGTCTTTTGTCGGTTGGCGTGGTGTTTCTTGTCGCCGGGCGGTTGGTTGCTGCGAAGGCGAAGGTGAGGTTGATGTGCGAGAGGGCAAAAAGCTCGATGACGGAAGCCAAAAAGGAAAAAAAAAAAGAAAAAGAAAAAGCTGGGGAACTTTCCTTAAGGGGGAGAGGCAGCTTGGCCCGAGCTTTTTCCCAATTGGAACAAGGCGAGGGGGATCACGTTATAATCACGTGCAAGATGACTAAAATCTGACCAAGGTGATGACTAAAAGATGAGTCAGCGCCAAGAAGTCGTTGCTTTTCTGCCGGTTTCTAACGCGACCGCCTTTCCCGATACGGCCTAGCCCGCTTATCGTCCTGCTGGCTTTTTTTTATCTGAAAATTTTTCTCGCAGCTTCGAAAAAACTTCTTCATCTCCAACATCAACTTCCAACCTCTTCCCCGTCACCAACCACCACCACCGCCATCAATCCCTTTCCTCTCTCTCGCGCTTCCTTCGCTTCATCCATTACGCCCCTTCACTTCTTGTTTGTGTTTGTTTTTGCTCCTCTTCACACATAATGCTTGCCTCAAGAATCTGCCGCGCGGTAAGTAGTAGCATTTGCTAGCTGCAAGGGAAGCTCTGCAGGAGCTCGAGAGAAGTCCATTGAATGCAGTTTTTTGACTGACATCTAACCGTTTAGGCTCCTCGCGTGCCTACACAATTCATTCGCTCCCCTGCTTTCAGAGTCCCATCGACCCAGTTCAGACGATGGAACTCGACAGAGGGTGGTGAGGAGAAGGTCAAGGGCCAGGTCATCGGTATTGATCTTGGTATGTCTTGATCCCTATATATGTGATAGAATAGATTATAGGATTGTCAATGGCCATGGGCTAACAATTGGCTGCTCACAGGTACCACCAACTCTGCCGTTGCCGTCATGGAGGGAAAGACCCCAAAGATTATGGAAAACTCTGAAGGTAAGCCAAACAGGCGGTGTTTCATCTGATCGACATACAAGAAAGTAAATGAAATAAAATAAACATGAACTAACAATCTACGTAGGAACAAGAACCACTCCATCCGTCGTTGCTTTCACCAAGGATGGCGAGAGATTGGTCGGTGTTGCTGCTAAGCGTCAGGCCGTTGTCAACCCAGAGAACACTCTCTTCGCTACCAAGCGATTGATTGGTCGTAAATTCACCGACCCAGAGTGCCAGAGAGATCTGTCAGAGGTTCCTTACAAGATCGTTCAGCACACCAATGGTGACGCCTGGGTTGAGGCTCAGGGCCAAAAGTACTCTCCCTCTCAGATCGGTGGTTTCGTCCTCCAGAAGATGAAGGAGACCGCTGAGGGATACCTCAACAAGCCAATCAAGAACGGTGTTGTCACTGTTCCTGCTTACTTCAACGACTCTCAACGTCAGGCTACCAAAGATGCTGGTCAAATTGCTGGTCTTAACGTTCTCCGTGTCGTCAACGAGCCCACCGCTGCTGCTCTTGCCTACGGTCTCGAGAAGGAGCAGGACCGTGTCATTGCTGTCTACGATCTTGGTGGTGGTACTTTCGATATCTCCATTCTCGAGATTCAGAAGGGTGTGTTCGAGGTCAAGTCCACCAACGGAGACACCCATCTCGGAGGTGAAGATTTCGACATCACCCTCGTCCGCAACATTGTCCAGCAGTTCAAGAAGGACTCTGGCATCGACCTCTCCGGTGACCGCATGGCCATCCAGCGTATCCGTGAGGCCGCTGAGAAGGCTAAGATGGAACTTTCTTCCGCTTCTCAGACTGAAATCAATCTCCCCTTTATCACTGCTGACGCTTCTGGCGCCAAGCACATCAACTCTAAGCTCACTCGTTCTCAGCTCGAGGCTCTCGTTGACCCCTTGATCCAGCGCACTGTTGAGCCAGTCCGAAAGGCCCTCAAGGATGCTAACCTTACTGCCAAGGATATCCAGGAAGTCATCCTGGTTGGTGGTATGACCCGTATGCCCAAGGTCACCGAGTCCGTCAAGAGCATCTTCGGACGCGAGCCTGCTAAGTCCGTTAACCCCGACGAGGCTGTTGCCATCGGTGCTGCCATCCAGGGTGCTGTCCTTGCTGGTGAAGTCACCGATGTCTTGCTTCTCGATGTCACTCCCCTTTCCCTCGGTATCGAGACCCTCGGCGGTGTCTTTACCCGTCTCATTAACCGCAACACCACCATCCCAACCAAGAAGTCCCAGACCTTCTCCACCGCCGCTGATTTCCAGACTGCCGTCGAGATCAAGGTCTACCAGGGTGAGCGTGAGCTCGTCCGTGACAACAAGCTCCTCGGAAACTTCCAGCTCGTTGGTATCCCACCAGCCCACCGTGGTGTCCCACAGATCGAAGTTACTTTCGACATTGATGCCGACTCCATTGTCCACGTCCACGCCAAGGACAAGTCCACCAACAAGGACCAGTCCATCACCATTGCTTCTGGCTCTGGTCTCTCTGACTCTGAGATTCAGAACATGGTTAACGATGCTGAGACCTACCGTGCTCAGGATATTGAGCGTAAGGCCCTCATTGAAGGTGCTAACCGTGCCGACAGTGTCCTGAACGATACCGAGAAGGCCCTCAAGGAGTTCGAAGAGAAGCTTGACAAGGCCGAGGCCACCCAGATCACTGAGAAGATCACCGCTCTCCGTGAAGTCGTTGCCAAGTGCCAATCTGGTGAAACCACCATCACCGCTGAGGAGCTCAAGGCCAAGGTAGATGACCTCCAGACCTCCTCTCTTACCCTCTTCGACAAGATGCACAAGGCCCGCCATGAGGAGAGCCAACAGCAACAGCAACAGCAGCAACCACCACAGGGCGAGGAGAAGCCCAAGGATGGAAGCAACTAAAAAGTGAATCAGAAAAATCCCCTTGATACCATCAATTGAATTCTTTGGAGTTGGGACGCTTTGTTAGTCATACGGAGGGTCATGAGGTCGTCGGATTTGTGCCTCTTTTATGTAAACTAACATTTGTATTTTTATAAATAACGTGTGTAATATTAGAAATGAATGCTTAAGACTAATAAAATACCCCCTCTCACAAGAATCTATATATCAACAATAAAGCAAGCCATTTTTTTTTCTAGAAATCTCATTACCGCTCATTAAAAATATGTATTGGGAGATATCAACAAAATACCTAAATACAACCCCCCTATCCAATTAATCATGCCATAGCAAAGCCAAACAAGACGTCCATTTCCACCCACTGCCGTCCACACTTCTTCAAGTACCCATCCACAACCGATTTGACAGTGTCAAACCGTGTCCTATTCCATGCAATAAGTGCTAAGATGGCCTCTCTCTTGTCCACTGACGCCTCCTTCTCCGCCATCCCCTTAGCTTTCTCAACATCCCACAGTCCAGCAAAGTACAGCAATTGGTTATATAGTTGCTTTTCACTATATTCATAGTGCATACGACCAAGACAGCCTTCAGCACGTCCACGAGGCCCTAAACATCGTTGGCCATAAACGCTCATTTGACGGGTTCGGTTGCCGCAGGCAGAGTCGTCGCAAACGAGCCAGCCTTCGTAGTACTGTGCAGTCTGGGCTCGGATTTGACTTTCTAGCTGCGCAACAATGGATATGACCGTAAATGCTTTGCCACATGAGGGTTCAGGGCATAATAAACCGTTGGGAGAACACATGTCTCGTGAGGCAACGAGGCCCTCGAACGTGGATTTTTTGCGGCAGAAGCGGCAGTGGAGGTTTAGCCTGGCAGCTTTCTCAAATCTAATTGAGTCAGGGATCTGTGATTCAAGGGCGCATAACTCTATTTCTTGCTGGCCGTGTGTCGCGTTGCTTGAGATTTGGTATTTTCTAACATCTAGGCCGAGACATTCGGCGAGTCGCGCAGCGTCTGTACCGGGTATGGGGGCACATAGTCGCTCAATTGGAGGGAATATTTGCTTTAACAGGTAGAATTCCACGTCTGGCTTCAATCCAGAATCGGGTTTGATGACGTCTTGGAGGGTGTATGAGCGTTTAGCTGGTTGCAGCGAGGAGGTCTCTGAGTCACCCAACGTTACTATATAAGAAATAACATCATTTGGGCGTACGGATTTGCCCCTGGCAAGCTCACGCAGAGCTACCTGTGCGGGAGGCATAGTCTCCTTGTTTGGGTATTCATCTGGCTTTTTGGATAGTTTCTATGAGATTAGGTTAGAGAAAGTCTATCAAAGCATCAATGTAGAATAAGCTTTAGAGGCTCGACGTACCGTATAGATGACATACTTCTGGACCGGAATCGCATATTCATGCATCTTCTGCGCTAGTTCCCGCAAGTAATCATGGATTTTGTTAAGGACAACTTCAACATCATCCCCTGACAAGATCTCATGCAGTAACTTGGTGGAAACCTCCTTTGACAAAGCACAGAATTCTCGACGCTTCATATCCAAGCCCTTAACTTCGAGGTGTTCAACGTATTTCCCATCAACCTCTGACAAGTTAATGGCGGCATACTTCTTCTTTGCATGCAGAAGAAGCCTCTTGAACACATTGTCAATATCAATCTCAAGAAGTCTGTATCTCTGGTTGACCAAACGTTTAAATTCATTGCCAACTTTGAGTGCCTCCTGAACATTGTCTGTGTTGGTATTGATCATGACTGAATCGGTATCTCCGTAGATAACTCGCAGTTGGTTAGTCTCTGCAAGTTCCTTCGTGTTCCGTAGAATTTCTCGTCCTTTGAATGTTGTAAGCATGGCAAGAGGTCGGGCATAAAATCGTGATTGTGTATAACCCAAACATCCGTACATGGAGTTTGCTGTTAGTTTTAAGGCTAGCTGTTTGGTATCCCAAAGAGCAAGTTCTTCAGGAGTAGCACTTTTGTCTTTCATCAATTTTTTCACTTCTCTTCGGCGGCTGACAAGAGTGGCAATGAGACGTGGTAGGATGCCTAACGGTTGATCACTATCTGGGACCTCGGGCACGCTCTCCTCTCGGTCATTTTCAGACTATGCACTGATTAGTATACGTGGTCGCTGTGGAAAAGCTAAGGTACTTACCGATGTATGTCGATCTACCGTTGTGAAGCAGATATTGAACTCCTGGATGATACTGGGGTACAAACTATTGAAATCCATGACGAGAACGTGTTTGTCGTAAAGACCCTTTTCAGGTTCAAAGACGAGGCCACCCTTGTATTTCTCTTTCTTCTTCTTATCTGCTCCATCTTCTTCTCCTTCATTTTCCTCAATCTTAATCTGGGTCTTGTGTCCATATTTGTCCGGGCAAATATATTTACCACGGTAAAACTCATGGAGCAAAATGTACTCATTTCGTTCGGCTCTAGTTCCGCTAAGTGTTCTAGACCAGGAGTTTCCAGCCAGGTTGGTAAGGACTTTAGTTAAAGGAAGCATCTGGAGCTTGAGAACAAGCGCAGCAATGAAGTATGTATCTGCTTCACAATGACTGAGGAAGTTCATCAGCCCTTCTTTACTAGTTGCCCATGTTTTGAGAGCGGCTTCGGTGTCGACTTCTCGGCGCTGATCACCTTCGCCCAAGTAAAGTTGACACATTTCAGTCAAGGTCCACGACTGGCATTTCATCATCAAAGACTTGCCCATGTCATTAGCAACATCGCAAAGAAGTCTCCCTGCTAGAAGTTGTCTGTCACTGAAGAATCCAGAGCCTTTTGAGAAATTCTTGGGCCATTCGCCACGCTTCAGTCTGCCAATTCGGTGCCATCCAGGGGTTTTCTTCTCCTTCAATCGGCTGAGGAGGACGTTAAAATCCACCTCTTGAAGCTGATGGCCCATGATGACGTCTGGGTCAATTCTTTCGAACAAAGCCAAGAACTTGCTGAGAAGAAATTGTTCGGTTTTTTCGAGCATGACAGTACCACGCTGCTTTTTAGCTTCGGCTTCAAAGCCAAGGGGGTAAGACAGATTTGAAGGCCTCATAACAGTAAAGGTCTTGCAAGGCAGGTTCTCAGGTGGTGTGGTATCACTGAGAGAAAGATTCTCATATACACGAGCCGAAGCAACGATAATCTCTTGCTTATTTTCCTTGACATTTAGCTGTGTTCTGAACGACAAGCTCATGAGTGTCAATGGGGGCGTTTCAATCTCCTCGGAGTCTGGAACTAATGAAATGTCGGCAGGATTTGTGACCTGGCACTCAAGCTTGCACCATGAAGCTCCATTGACCGCTGTGAAGTCTGCATCTTCAATTTTTAGCCAGCAGGGACCCATGATGTTCTTCCACAGGACAAATTGCTCAAAAAGAGCGGTATTCGTTCCGAAAACATGAGAAAATGTCTCGCCTTTCAATTCTATAGGCAAGGCAGGTTTCGTGTAGGGATACATCAGCTTGAGGTATTCAGCTTCTTTAGGAATGTCCGGCAACTCAAAAGCGTATTTTCGAGTGCAAGGTTTGATTTTATGCATCTCAACTTTCGATCTGCTCATGATATTATCCACCTCCCCATAGACATCTTCCATGTCAACCTCTTCACTGGTAGGTTGGCCACGGACGTATTTGTATTCTCGGGGTAAGAAATATAGTTTCCTAAGAATATTGTCGACTTTAACAAAAGCACTCACGTAGCTGTTGTTGGTTTTATTCTTGACTTTTCCGAATAAGCAGAGACTGCCGTTGATTTCAGTGTAGTCCAACCAAAAAAACCTCAAGCTACCGTCCTCCTCCACAGCTTCCTGACAGGTAAGTTTTCCGAACCGTTGTATATCTGTGACCGAGCTGTTGAGAACATTCAACTTATTCGTTACATCATTCCAGGATGAAGGGTTGATCATTTCAGTTGTGGCACGGGCCGGAGAAGAAGCCATAGGATCATCACATACTTCTTTCTTGACTTTTGGAGGTGGCCGCTTTCCAACCATGTTGACGCTTGGTGTATTGGTACTATGGTCCGCAACAGCTTCTGCTACATCCAGCATATCGTCGTCTCCATCATCGTCGTCTTCTTCCTTTTTGATTACGACTTGTTTCGATCTCGAGGTACCGGCTGTCTTCCGCTCCACTGCACTAGCAACTGGGGATGAAGGCAATGGCTGCTCACTCATAATGGCATCGTCGTCTCCACCATCAAGAAAAACATCATCTTCAAATTCCGCATCTGCTGCTGAACTATCTTTTGGGTGGGGGTTATCATTCTCCTGGTCGATCTCGGTCTTCTTCACTCTTGGTTTTGGTTGAGCTGGAGGGGAAACAATCCGTACTTTTCTCCTGGTCTCGGACTTTACGGATCTCTTGACAGGAACCTTCAAAGAGGCTATATTCGTCTCAACGTCACCTAGAATATCCGCCAGAAACGCTTCGTCGTCGGCCGTAGCAACAGGCTAAATAACCAGAAATTCGTTAGACACGGTCACTGCCATATTTTACCGAGGAGTGAAAGTAGAGGCGCATACCTTTGGTTTCGAGGTCTGTTTGGTGAGGGTGGCCGTAAAATACTTGTTAATTCCATTGTTTATTTCCTCCTTTTTCTTGTTATCTTCTTCACGCTTCCGCTTAGCAGCTTTCCCCCTAACTGGCAAGCCGTCACTGTCACTGTCGCTAGCTGCAAGTCGGGTATCATCCCACTCTTCCCGACCGTCGTCGGCGTAGCCCTCGCCATTATCATCAACCACAAAGTCATCGCGATCAAGTCGTTTTCGGACAACCTTCTTATACCCTTCCTCGTCAACTTGTTCGTAAATATCTTCGTCTTCTTGAACTTCGTAGGTTAAAAGCCGCTTCCTTCCAGAGGCACGGAGAGCCTTCAGCTCTTCTAACTTTTTGGCACGAGAAGACATGATGAAATTGAAGGCTTAAAACGAAAGAAAACAAATCATAAAAACGCAGTGTCGTTGAAAAGAGCGTCGACCAGACGAACACTCTGGTCATGATACCTCGTCGTCCTTGGGGGAAAAGACGAGCATTTCTCACAAATCGCGCGTTGTGAGATCCAAACCAATTAACAAACCTTAAAACATCGCGTTTCGCGTCAGTTTGACGCGCGCAAATAAAAACCTTAGTCATGTGACTAACCTTATTTGGAGGTGAATTTGTCAGCAATTTAAGCGAATTCTTTCAACAGGAGCAAGCGCTCGTCTATAGATGAGTAGAACGTGCCGAGCGAGATGAAGATGAAGACAGTCATCTACGTTCTATAGAGCACACTTAAAAGAAGTTGGAGTAATCGGGGGTTTGACATAATAGGTTTAGAGTCTACCGCAAAAGACAGATATTTGACATTCGTTAATACATTAAAACCTCGTGACCAAACCACCCGATAACGCCCAAAGTCCGACACCATATTTTTGTTTTGACTAGCTTAGTTCATCTGTTTGATGAGAGCGTTGATGTTCTCCTCACGGTTACCAGTGTCACCACCCTCGATGAAGTGCTTGAACTTGCGAGTGCGGAAACCACCAGTAGGGTTGGAGAGCTTGAATGGCCACAGGAAGTTGCTGGCCTGCTTGAAGTTGGGGCCGACAGTGTAGATCTCGTGGATCAAGTCTTCCATGCAGACAATGCCGTACTTGCCAAGGTTCTCCTCGATAAGCTGGTTGTCGGTAAGGGCAACACGCTGCTTGTTGATCTTTCCGTAACCACGCTTGTAGACGAGCTCGCGGACGCTCTTAAGGTTGGGGTAGCCGTAGGCAATGTATGGGTCAACAATGGTCAACATCTCAGCGGTAGCCTTGGTGAGCTTGACGAAGACTCCGTTGTTGATCTGGAGAAGACGGAGAAGCTGCAGGATCTTGCGAGGCTTAGGAGCAATCTTGTTGATACTATATAGTTGTTAGAATGCGATGTTATTTAAGTGAGAAATTGAATTGGCACCAACCCCTTGATACGGACAACAAAGACAAGCTTGGCCTGAGCAGGGACATAGAGGGAGCCCTCCTGCTTGCTCAAACGAGCCAAGCGGATCTTCTCACGCTCAGCATCACGGTACTCCTTGACATAGGACTCAGCACGCTTGAAGATGACAGCACGCTTGTTCTTGTTGGCCTATGGATAACATTCAGTCAGTATCAACGTTTTCCACCAGATATGCTGCAATATATATTATTTTGGGTTGCAACTTTCAGACCCGAAAGATGGTTAAAGTGAAAGCGACAGCATCGACCTGAAGGTCTAGTCGCATCGTTGGTGATATCATCACAATACAAAACAAGAAACATAACATAGGCACAGGATATGCAAGATAAGGGTGTCAAACTAACCTTGCGGCGCTTCTCAAGCTCAGCGGTGCGGTTGGCTCTGGCCTTCTCCTGGCTCTTGCGCTTCTTCAAGAGGGTCTCAGGAACAAGGACCTGGTCCTGGGTTGGGACAGTGCTAAATGCCCGACGTTAGTATAGTCCGATCCACGTATAGTGAAATAATCTCGCCGAGTGTAAGAACTGCAGCTTATAGTGCCACATTCTCAACTGAAGGCGTTTAATAAAGACTCGACGAAATGTTTTTGATCAATGAAGACTTTGGATTGTTTTCGCAGTAGGTACTAGCATATCCACACGTATATAGTTGGATGTAGCTTTCCCGGTTGCTAGAACTATCGCAAGGTATCCTCGGTTGACAAAGCCCCATGCAATTACTGCGCGGGATAACTGTGCCTGTCTATTTTCGCAATCATGTGGACAACCAATGCCTCATGCAAGGACTGGTATCCAATTCGCGTAGACCCGACAATAAATTTCAAGGAGAAAGCTATGACACCTTCAGCCTCAATGCCCCATTGACGTCTCCCTATAGACCTTCATTCCTTGCTATCTGTAGAACACTCGGAAGGGTATTTGAGGGAGCGCCGGGATTGTTCGAGCTGGTGCTAACATCAATCACAGCCAAGTGATATGGTGCAAGCAACTCCAGCGAGAAGGACGGACTATAACCCAACACTACACACACGGGACTGAGATTAGTGAGCATAAGAGAGAAGGGAAGCATACGTAGAGGTGGGAGCCATGTCGAAAGAGTCTGAGGTCGACTTGTGCTGAATTTGCTGGTCGAAAATGTCGTTGAAGTCGCGAGGTCAAAAAAGAAGCAGAAACGAAAGTTTTGAAGAAGTTTTTGTGTTTTGTGGAAATCCAAAAGACGCTAGTCCTGATTAGTCAGATGGCATCACGTGGATGTTGCTTTGGGGATTTTAGGGCTAAAATTGATGAGTCAGCGGTTTTATCGTATGGATAAGAACGAACGACGCAGGAAAGACCTTGAGGACAGCAAAAGAGGAGAAGAAGACAGCAACATAGCGAGGAAGAGAAACCCGACAAACAGGAGGTCACAGGCAAGTTACGAGACAATAAGGGCTTACTATGTCGTCCCGTCGCGGTGTTGGACTAGGGGCGTTTGTGAATAAGAACCAGGCTTCGCAGTCCTTTGCAACCCATGGCGCCAACCTGAAGTCAACACATGCGAGCTCTCTCCAGACACAGTTATCAGTTTTCCAGTCCCTCCTGCATACCTTCGCCCTCGAACATGGAGAGACTATTAAGTCAAATCCAACCTTCAGAGCAGAGTTTGCCCGCATGTGTCATGCCATAGGAGTCGACCCACTAGCTGCCAGCAACATCAAGGGGAAAGGGAAACGGGGACTCGGCGAAGGCGGTAGTTTCTGGACGCAAATACTCGGCGGAGATGTCAACGACTTTTACTTCGAAGTTGCTGTCAGAGTAGTTGAGCTTTGCAGAGAGACGCGCGCGGAGAACGGCGGCTTGATCAGTGTAGAGGCGTGTCAGAAGGTGGTGGGAGCTGGTAAGGCTATTGGAGGTGGATTAGAGGTTTCCGAGTACGCCTGCTCTCTTAAGTATATGACTTATGTTTGATATAATTACTGACATTGTATTAGGGATGATATACTTCGTGCTGTCGAGTCTCTGGTACCACTTGGATCCGGTTTTAAAGTCGTCAAAGTTGGGAGCAAGACATTCATCCGGTCTGTTCCCAAGGAGCTTAATACGGACCAAGCCACCGTTCTGGAAGTCATCCAGCTCCTAGGTTTTGTAACGGTATCTATGCTACAGTTAAATCTACAGTGGGAGAAAGCGAGATCAAAGACGGTTATCGATGACCTTCTTGCGGACGGTCTTGTATGGGTTGATTCACAGGCTGAAGAAGCGGAATACTGGTCGCCCCAGTATCTACAAGATAGCGGGTGAGATGGTCGTGTATTTGACTTGAAGCTGAAAACACTTGCCGACTTACGAATTGGCTGATCTTCTTACCCACACACGAGCCTATGTCGCCCGTGTTGAACAATGTTGGTGAATGCACCCACAGCTAAATACCAGGAAGACGGACGTTACCTGTTGCCATCCAACGATTGGAGGCCCTCTACCACCGCCCATGGTAACGAAATGTTCAATACTGAAGCCTAGAACGCCTATCCGGTATATTCGGTGCCCACCCAAAGTTATGGATGGACCGATGATAGTCGGCTACGCCCGAAAGACCAGAGTATTTGTATTTATTATCAACATTCGATAGTTCGAATATTGAAAAGTGAACCACTGAAGTTTTGATTTGTTTAACCTGCCATTGATCGTTTATAATATGCATGGACATTTTTGAACCCTGCCAAATGGCGTAGATGCAGACTCAACCCCAAGCATTCACTGAAGACAGAGCCGGTACACGTAAATAGGAAAAGAAGTAAAAAGAAGACAAGAACCATTAAGAAAACGAAAGTAGGAAATGATGCTGACACAGAAAATCATAAAACACATCATTTCATTAACTTCTTGGGTGTCAAAAAAAGGGGGCTTGATGATGGAAGAAGGGGATTAGAAGGGATAATTCTTTCATGCTCGGATCGCTCCACCAAGGGCACCACCGCCGAACTGCTGGTTACCGGGCCTTCTACCTTGTCCTCCAATACCACCGCCACGGCCACCACCACCTCGCTGTCCGCCTCTACCACCTCGTCCGCCACCTCGTCCGCCATGACCCTGGTCACGTTGGAACGCATTGGTCATGCCTTGTGTTCGTTGTTCAAGGGTCTTCTCGTTAGCTTCTAGTAGAGACATGGACTTGTCTGCAAGAGTAACGATTTGACTCTGGAGTCTAAAAAGCTCAACGCCCTTGCGGAAGACAATGGCGTCGTTAACTTGGTCGAGGGCGGCGCTGAGTTCTTCGTGAGAGATCATGCGGCTGACTATAGCAGCAATTCTCTTCTCGGAGAGCTCGAACATGGCTGCGAGGGTGCTGATGGAAAGGGTATCGTAGAATGGAGCGTAAGTGAACAGATAGGTACGTAGACCTTCCTCTTGGATTTGCTCGGCAAGCATGACTTTGATCTTGTCGGGCTGGGCCATCAAGTCCCAGATCTTGATGGAGTTGAGGGTGGCAGAGGCCTTCTTCCAGTCGCCGGCTGCAAGGAACTTGGCGCTCATGATAACACCATCACGGGTGTTCTCTGGTGGGCCGGTAAAGACTTGTCGCTCGTTGTAATCGAGCATTCTTCGGAATGTCTTCGAGATGATTCGTCGCTTGAGTTCGGGGGAGGAAGAGCTCTGGGCCATTAGGGGAACCTCAAGGAACATGCTGGAGGTAAGGTAGATGCACTCGAGGAGCTCAAGGTTGATGTGCATGTGGAAGGGGAGCTGGCGTTGACGCTCAAGTTTCTCCTGCTCGGGGGAGACAGAGGAGTATCTCTGCATGATAATTCCCTGAGCCAGAAGCTCCTTTTGTCGTCCACTTCCGCAAACCTCAGAGAGGGTGTTTTGGGCTTCATAGACAAGTCCGGCACGGAAAGCGCAGAGACCAATCTGCACAAGTGTTCGGTTGAAGAGGATCTGTGTGCTGACGTCAAAGTTGGAGATGTTCTCTGTGAGATGGGACATCAACATGAGGTCTCTGGCGCGGTGGTATTTGTCATGAAGGGCGAGGAAGTAGATCTGGCAGAGCATAGCACGAGCTCTGATGATGCCGTCACTGTACTCGAACAGATAGTTACAAAGGGTCTGTACCAAAGCGGTGACATCTGTGCTCTTTGCTCGAGGCGTGATCGACGAGTCAAGCTTCTCAGGGACAACCTTCCACGAGTTTTCTTCCATTATGTTGACAACCTGGGCAGGCTTGAAGTAGACGTGCTCTAGTCTTCGCATCAGAACTCTGTTCACGCTATCTTGTCTGGGCTCGGACTTCTCGATCTCATTGAGGTTCTCAACATAGATCAAGGCACGAACAATGTTGTTGTATAGTAGCTGCTCGTCACTGAGTCTCTCAATGTACTCGGCTGTATGAGGATCGATGTGTTGCAGCGAAAGGGTGAGCTCATCATCTAATCGTTCAACCAGAGAGACGATGCTTCCAGGCACCTTGAGGACTTCACCAGGAGCCAGCTGTGGCATCTTCTCATCATCTTCCCACTCTTCAGCACCTTCAGTGACAACATACGAAGGGTTCTCTTCCAGGGTCTGGAGCAGGGTGGTAATTTCTCGCTCCGCGAGTTTCCATTGATCAGTACCCAAGAAGTTGTTTACTGAAGTGGTGCTGAGGTCGAAACGAGTAGAGATGAGGGTCAGGAGGATTCGGATGGTGTGGTATGGTGTTGTAGCAACCTCGAGGAGTTTTTCCATAGTTCGGATCTGCTCCATACGGTCGGTGTTTTTCTTGCCTCTAGACTCCACCACAACACGGAGGTGCTTGAGAATGCTCTCTGGGGTATACTGGAGAGCCTTTCCACCACGGCCAACGGTCGAGAATCCAGTGTCGTCTCCGATAAGAACATCCTCAACTCGGGTAGCGGCACGGGGAGCACGCTCCACAACCACGACTTCTTCCTCCTGGTCTGGTTCCATGTACTCCTCCTTGTTCTCTCTGTACTTTTCGATCTCGGTGACATATTCCTTGTTGTTCTTCTTTAGACGCTGCTTGACAGTGTTGAAGCCCTTGGCGTTGTTGGCGTTCATCTTCTTTGTGGACACCTTCTGCTTCGCAAGCGTCTCGTTCATGAAGTCCTCCAGATCGGCAATGGCCTTGATATAGACCTTTGGAATAGGACCAGACTGGACAATCTTTGCAGTCTGCCTGTTCAGCTTATCGAACTCTACACCACCCAAGTCAGTTTTCTCTTATCAAGAAACACCACCCCGCAGTCCACGGCCAACCATTCTCCAGACATACCTGTAGAAATAACAGCCCAGTCATTGATTCTCTCCGCATTATCAATGACCTTGATTGTGTGTTCCAACTCCTCTAGTCTCTTATCCTTCGCACTCTTCATGACCGTAACCCGCTCCTCATCTTCGTCCGACTCAACGGCGGCCTTGGTCGACTTGTAGAACTTGCTCGCACCCTGGAGACCGCCATCGTCATCGGAATCACTCTCCTCCTCCGAGGACTCCTCCTCGCTGGACTCTTCTTCGCTGGACTCCTCCTCATCGTCTTCGGGCTTATCGCGATCGCTGTAGAGCTCCTCCTCATCTGAGGACGAGCTTTCGCTGTCACTGCCGCCGTGGAAGAAACGAGACATCGTGCTGGTCAGGACAGGCGTGCGGGCTTCTTGTTTCGTGTGCTGATCTCTCGACAAACCTGACGGAAACGCTGGAGATGTCTGTGGTCTGGTCGGTGGTGGTTTTGTTCGCTCGCTCGCTTTCTTTTCGCTCGTCAAAAAAACGACAAACTCGATAAAAAAATCTAAGCGAGGGTGGCTAGCCCGATCGGGTTAGCGCGGGTCATATAACTAACAGCCCAGGCATCGACAGACAAAATCGCCAACGACAGTGCTTTCTCTGGCATCTGATAGCTGGTGATAGCTGTTGAGCGCGCTTGAAGGCTAATACTTCTTTCACTGGTCAGGAGCAGCTAAACTCAAGATTCTCATTTGAGGTTTTTTTTTAAAGAGTGCCTGCGTCATGAGGTCAACTTCATATACCCAAGTCCTCTGGGCTAAAGATGTATCTATAGCAGAGATCATCTATCAAGACATGACGGCAGTTAATTCGGTCGTTGGTGCCTAATCCTGGGTTGTGTCATATTATATCACAATAGCTACAAGAAACCAGACGCCGTTGAATGCTTTTCCGCAATTGCGTGCCTCGCTTCTGCCGTGTGCAGAGGACTACATTGCCCACTTAATGGATCCATAATATATGGCTACCTAGCGGGTAAAACAGCGCGGGACTATTTCATATATCTGTACTGCTCGGCTCTATACAGAGGGATTGAATCTTCTATCACCGAGCTTCGTATCGAAATACTGCTTGATGGGTTTGGCATCTAGCCGTTGAACATGCCACTCACTCCAGCCAATTACAATAATTCTCTCATCAAGCCAACGCTACGTTTTACCATGGATTCGTCCTGATACCGCAGGACTTTTAGCTACCAAACCTCACAGTTATCTGGAACCCAACCACTCAAGACCCAAGGGGCAGGCTTCCTGGACCCAGATTCGATGGACTAATTAACTATCATCTAAATCTCACAAAAGTGCTAAAAGGACCGCATTCGTTTATTAGTTACAAACCCAGATCGGAGACCCTAAAAGGCCTATCGTTAAAGCAGGCCGTTCCTACATAATTTTCAGGCAAAAGTAATCTGTCTACGGTTTTTCGACCGAGCCTTATTCCGAAGAGTACCGAAAGTCGCATCTGCTTGACTCAGCCCTAATGATGGTATATATATTATTTCTCAATGTGAAGGCTTCAAAACGAGGAGATTCTTCTTAAGCTCAACCAATCCTACCTTAGTAAGGAAGATATTGTCGTATGACTTCTGTCTATTGCCACTTTTCGCTTCGAACATAAGTTGACCAGGACCCAGGAAGTAAACATCAGGAATACCTTTCAGAAGGGAGATACTGCGATCTATTGCGGGCTCATTTTATCGTTTCTAGCTAGAGTTGGATGTCAGAATGAACTTTTTCTTGACCTCTGTATATCCAGGTTACTGGACGTGAGTATCTTCCTATATATCTACAACTAACTACACATCCAGCATCTCTTTCCAATCTAGAGTGAGGCGAGTCGATATAATATGTTATGAGATAACATAACTACCAACTCCAACGCTATGGTTAACAGACTAGAGATAAAGGCAAAAAAATAAAAAAAAAAAATAAATAAAAATATATAAAAAAAATCGAAGTTCGAAGTAATGACGTATATCAAAAAGTCAAACAGTAAAGCTGATAGAGAAGATGAAGCGAAGCAAAGTGGGAATATAGAAAATATAAGCCTATAATCGGTCCATCAAAACGGTTGCATCCTTGTTTGTGGATGTTGTAATACTGGAATAGAAAAAAAAAAAATAGAGAGAAAAAAAGACGACCACTTAAAGGTCAAGAGATATAAATGTTGATAAAATAGGGGAATAATAGAAGGGAATATATAAAGGTAACGGGATGAAAAGAAAAGAAAACAGGGGGCCATTCATATCTCCTTCTCCTTTTTTTACCCCTTGCCGTATCATTCATTCCAGGAGAGGCATCATTTTCATCCACCAATACCTAGCCAACATACACAGAGCATAGCATTCCACTATATTCATCATCAGTGATAATTCTGTTCTTGTCCTTTCTATCACTCGTCAGAGCTAATTGCCTCATCCATCGTCAACCAAGTTCGATTCAATTCAACTTGTTTATCCCAATACCCTAAAATCCAAGTGGTGCGGGCGTTCCATCGCGTGATATAAGTGTGTGCTTTGTTTGGCGCGCGCAAGACCATTGGCTATGTGCACGTATATTGCAGATGCCTTGCGAAGAGTATATAATGTTTGATGAGTGGAGTGGAGAGGCAGGGGGCGGGATGTTGGGTAAATGTACATAAGTGAGCCAAACCCGGAATTCAAGTCCAGGGAACGTTAACCCCTTGCAGAGCCCGATTGCTTTATTGGCTTTTTAGGGTAGTTGTTTGTTTGAAGCTGTACGGCCAATTGAGGTGAGCTGTATCCTCAATTGGTACAGTTGGAATAAAATAAATGTGAAATGGTATTTGGAAAATGTTCACGTTCAATCAGTGCCATTGGTTCTGGTTCTGGTTCATGAAGCCATCTCCCAGTGCACCATCTTCGAGACTGCGGATGAAGTCTCTATTTCGGCCGTGTGAACCGTTGTTTCTTGCCCGGCTAGTTCGTCTTTGACCTGGGCCGGAAGCGTCAGGGTACCCGTCGGCTGGAGGTGGGTAGTACGCCGGGCTAGGCTGGAGTCGAATGGGTGAGTTGGGGTCCAAGTGACTAGCCACCCGTTGTATAGACGGTGGAATACCACTCTGTTGTTGATCCATTGTCGTAGCCCGTTGTCGACCTGCGCGCGTAGTTGCTTGCGCGTATAGGTTTTGAGAGGAGCCATATTGTGTCTGCTGCGGTGGCATAGACATATGGCCAGATTGCATGATAGGCATTTGATAACCCTGTTGTGTAGGATAGGGTGGTGGTGGGCCCTGTTGCTGCTGAGGCTGTTGCTGTGGAGGCGGAGCCGGGTGTTGTTGCTGCTGCTGGGAATTATACATGTTGTTGTAGACCGGTGGAGGTTGATTGTGCGGTGCGTTAAATTGGTTCATTTGAAGAGCATAAGCAGATTGTGCGGCAGCGGCAGCGGCAGAGTTTGCTTGGGCTTGGGCCGCTTGTGCTTGTGCAGCTTGGGCGCGTTGCTTGGATGCTGCTTCTGCTTGTTGCTGTTGTTGGACTCCGGGAGCAACAGATTTATTGATGACGGAGGATTTGAGATGGACCGGCGGGACGAACGGTTGGGTGAACTTTTGCTGCGTGATGAAGGGGTGGAGTTTGGCTTGTTGCGGAGACCATCTTTCAAGAGGGTTAATGGATAGGAGGCCGCGAACAAAATCAATGAATGCCACGCGGTTGTTCATTTCTGTTGATCAGAGAGTTAGTTACGATTCACAGCAACATACTTGGGGCAATACACATACCTCTGTCAATTTCGGCCTGCTTCATGTTCTTCCGCGGCATTGCGTATGACCTGATGATTTCCGGCAGTGTGGTAGCTTGGAAGTACTTCTTGCTTGGCTGTTCTTTGGTGTTGTGCTCGCGAGAATATTGTTCCATGCTCTTCAGTCTGAAACTCTGTCGGCCAAACTCATCTTGTGTCTTCTCAAAGAATTCACCAGCCTGCTTCCCGTTCTCGAGCATCCATACTGGAGGCAAGCCCAGCATTTCTGTTATTCTAGCTATTTGGTTGTACTCCGATGATCCAGGGAAGAGAGGAAGCCCGAGGAAGAGTTCAACAACAATGCATCCGAGGGACCACATATCAATTGCCGAGGAGTATCTGCAGGGATGTTAACAATTTATTCTAAGAGTGCATTGAGTAAAACTACTTACGGCAATCCTAGGAGAACTTCGGGTGAGCGGTAAAATCTAGACTGGATATAGGTATAGACGGTTTGTCGCTCGTCGCACGCAGATCCGAAGTCGATAATTTTGATTATAGGGCTCTCGAGGCTTTTTTTAATCAAATATGTTAGCTATCAATTGTAAAATGTAAGGAAAGCGGCAACGTACTTTTTTAGCAAGATGTTCTCCGGCTTTAGATCGCAATGTATCAATCTAGCTTTGTTCAAGAGTGCGAGCCCGTTAAGCAACTGTTGAGCGAACACCCTCACGAGTGTGGTACTCAAGCCACGGAACTGATTTTGCTTGATCAACTCGTAAAGATTAACACTGAGCAACTCAAATACCAAGCACAGATGTTGGCGATGGATGAAGGTGTCCTTTAGTCGAAGTAGATGGTGGTCATCGTTCTTGTCAAGTTTGCTGCTAATCTGCTAACTGTTAGCTGCAGGTCTAGTCCGACAAACGTTCGAATCGACATACCAAATCCAAGACCGACACTTCCATCATACTCTGGTTGAAGTATGCGGTCCTATTCTTGATGACTTTCACGGCAATGACTTCCTGCGTCTTTAGATTTTGACACTTGACTACTTGTCCAAAAGTTCCTTGGCCGAGGACGTCAAGGATAAGGTAGCGGTTCCTAGTTGACAAGGAGTCAGTATGCTGCTGTGGATTCGACGTGTGCAAAGTGTCAAGAGTGTCGTACTTGTGGTTTGCTTCCTCACTGCCGAGAATATCGTTGACATAAAGAATATAGTCGCTATCATCGTTATCGTAGCCATCGTTCTTGACACCTTTGCTCGGCTTCGTCAGCACACGTCGAGGGTTCCTAGATGACTCGTACTTGAAGGTCGGGTTGCAAATTCGATACGTTGCTGGTAGATGTGTTGTGAGGGCTTGTAAAGGCTAGTGTGAAAGATAAAATAAAGAGATTAGCATTAGCGTCGATATAGCGATAAAGGTGAGCGCTGCGGGGAAACATACACTGATGAACCCTCCTTCTGGGTTGGCTCGTCGGAAAGCTGGCTGCTTGTTGATCCTGGGTTGTAACTCGCTGATGCATTTGATACTCTGGAACTTTGGTACGGGACCCCTGCCCATGCCAACACTAGGACTCCCGCCAGCTGACTGAGGCTGATACGAGACTGGGCGATGAGATTTTGAGTCTTGGCCAAAAGCGGAATGGAGCTGAAGGGTCGCAGACTGCGGATAGTATCTCTCCGGGCTCATATCGTTGGACTGTACGGGGGGTAGGCGTGGGGCATGCGGTCGTGAGGGTGCGGCTGGAGATGTGTTAGTAAGATGGTGGTCAATGTAAAAGTTTGCTGCGTGTTCAGGAGGAGCAGGTTTATGAATGGTAAAGGGGAAATGGTCATCATTAGACCTAGAGTGCAGTGATGGAGGATTGCTGAAATCCCAGTCCACCTTTGGCGAGCTGGGAGGCGTTGAGGCCGCCTCTCGACAGTCCGCCAGCGAGCAGAGGCAGAGAGTGAAACTGCCGGTCTTGAGGTGGTAGAGAGTGAAACAGGACTGAGAACATACATGGTGGTGATTGATATGATTGCGAGGCCGAGTAGTTGTTTGCACTGGTGGTAGGCGAGGGATGCGAGCTGGACTTTGCGGTGGGAGGGAAGCCATATGTATTCTGGGCGGCGTTGGGGCTCATGTTATACGGCAAAGTGGGCGAGATAATGTTCATGGGAGAGTATCTGCGGGCAGCGGAGTAGGTTTCTTCATTAGCGAGGTATTGCGACGAGTTTCGCTGGTGCGTGGGCGGTCGAGCAGAGTACTTGGCTCTGTTGTAAGGGTCCGCGTCTTCCATGTGGGTGTCATGATCCAGATCGCGAGTGTTGGGCGTGCCGGAGCCGTTGCCGTTGCCAGAGGGCGAGGGGACCATGGAGGTCGGTCTGAGGCTTGCAGGCACCTTAGACACGCTGCCTGGTGGTTGATACGTTTCGTACGTGAAGCCGCGAGGAGGCTGGTGTGTCTGTCCGTGGTCGACGGCTGAGTGGCCAGTGTTGGGAGTGAACTGGCCAGGCTTGTTCCCCGGTATATCGGAGTAGTTCTGCCACTGTGGTTCCATATTTTCTTGCTGCCCGAGGAGCTTGCAATAATAATATAATAACAACAATAATAATAATATCCGCTCTATCAACCTTGCCTGCGTGGATTGCTGTACGTGCTCGTTCGCCTCTTGTTTACCACGGGGGTGGCTTGTTTGACGCAAAAACGATTGCCAAACGGGACACCGTCCTGAACTGCCCGTCCGTGTGTAATGAGCAGAAGCAGCAGGACACCCTGATACTCTGTGTATTTCGGCTGTGGGTATGTCTGCGAGTCGGAGGAGCCGGCGCTGCAGAGGCGTAGTAGACGTTGCGACTGGGGGAGTATTTCTAATATGCTAAACGGGCGGGCGAAACGTCTAGCAGCGCATCATCGAGCCGGCGAGACGTCGACAAGCTCACAGGCAAAGGTAATTGCAGTATCCACGGTCACTTGCCCGGCCATGCAGCAGCCTCGTAGACCCGGAGCAGATATTACTGAGTGGCCGCTCGATGGCTGCAGCGGGCAGTGGATGGCTTCGACGGTGGAGGAGCAAGACGGGCGGCGGTGGCGGCTGGGGGGGTGGGATGCGGCCCCTGAAAAAGGACTCAGCGGACGGGCGGCAGGATGAAGAAGCCCTGGGCCTGTCAGGCTGCTCTCTCTGGCGGTCCGTCTGTCGAGAGCTGCTGTCGCTCTGGGTGGTGATGGATGCGATGAAGTGGACGAGGACAGGCGAGGGAGAAGTTGAGGTTGCAAGTCCGCAAGTTGCGAAGTCAGCACAGGCAACTTCTTCCTCCCGCGTGCAGCAACAACAACAACACCAACAACGTCAACAACGTCAACGTCAACGCCTGGCTACCACTCGCAACCACGCCGTCCTCTTGTGTTTACTTGGATAGACTGGCCTTTTGTTGTTGGGCTTACGGGGCAGTAGTGATGGTAGTGACGATGGCTACAGACTGACAGGGCTTGCTACGACTAACTACGGTGGAGAGACGCAGCTTGGGGTGCGCCGTAGATGTACCTGACTCCAGCCCAAGGACGTCGAGCTGCCTGAGCAAAAGCAAAGAGGAACCGAGGACGGAAGAAGACGAGTAACTAGCAACAGGGGGGTGAGGAACCGTCGGCGGCAGACTCGGTGGTGAGAAGAAGGTCTGTCACTTTGCTCGCCTCCTCGTCGAGGATAAGACCCCCATTCCCCATTTCTGCGGCTTCCATCTGGGCCTTGACAACAACCAACCCCCATGCAACGGAGTAACAATTAAACGCATCACTAACAGCCTTTCTTTTTAGACCTTTTAAGACCTGCAAGGCTCTGGTTGCAAGAGAGAACAAGTACGAAACCATGGCTCGGGCTGACTAATCTCGCATATTACTAGTTGGTGAGCTGCAGCCTGGAGAGCTTCGAAGGTGATAAAATGATAGCTGAGAAGTGAGAGAGAGATGAGAGAAGAGATAGTTAAAGAAGAAGGAAGAGAAAGAAGGAAAAACGAGGTCACTGACGGCATGGCTGGTCTCTACTGAGGACTAACTCCGGGGTAAAGAGCTCTGGTTGGTCGTCGAGCCGATATATCAAGCGTAACGGCTCGCCTCTCACAGGAAGCTAGCCAACTATCTACATAAACCTGATAATACACATCCATATATTGCCAGCTCTGCTTGACGATGGCAGAGTTAGACCAGGATAAACGCCAGGACGGCTCGTCAGGGACTGCCGCTGATGCGCCAGCTGAACCCTCACAGCAGGATGTCCAAGGAACTGACGAGTCGAGCCGCCTGCGAGCTCTTGATGCCGACATCAGAGATCAGGACGATCTCGAGAGAGATATCACACGCCAGGTGTGTTGGCTGTTGGACATGTTTCACCCTCCTGTCCCCTGGGCAGACCTTAACTAACCCTGCTCAATATAGGCCGACAAAATATTAAGGGAGCAAGCTAATGAGCGAGATATACGGCGCCTTGAGCGTACCAGAAACGAGAAAGTGTACAGTCTTGCCCCGACTCCCGATTCAATCCAGCTGTACATGTTGACAAATATATGTGGTGTAGAAAGATCGAATCTCAAGTTCTTAGACTTCATCAGCGACTATCTGAGCCCATCGGTACTTCTGCCCGAGTAAAGTACGAGGCAGATATCAAGAATGCGGAAAGTCGCTTGACGCAACTTGAGACGGATCTAAAAGAGATACAGCAACGTATCGAAGAGCGCGGCGGAGAAGAGGATGCTGCCGGCATCAGTGCTGGGCGTGAGGAAGGGTCGGCGGCTGGGAGATTGCCCAACGAGTCACGGAGGGACTATCTCATACGCACAGGCAAGATTACTCCCTTTTCGCGCATGGGTGGGGGTGCTGGAGATGATGCAGGTACCACGTTGCAGAGCGCTTTGTTTGAGGCGGAGGATGAGAGGGATGAAGAACTTGCGCTTGAAGCTGCTGGTGAACAGCCCGTCGCTTCACATCGGCACTTGATGAAACCTGGGTTTGATGATAGCCAGTTTGACGAAGCTGTCCGCCCGACGAAGAGGCGCAAGGTAGCTGGTGGCTCTGGCGTGGTAGCTAGCTCGCCTATCGTTTCAGAAGATGAGTACCTCGATGCTGATGCTGAAGAACCTGAGGATGAAGAGGAGTCTGTAGACGAAGAAGAGCTGGATTCAGATGAGACAACAGGGCGAGCTCGGAGGAAGAAAGGAAAAAGCAAAGGGAAGTCAAAGGCTGTCGGTGCCATTGAAGACTTCAAGGGGGTGGATGATGGAGACGAGCGAGTGTACCAGTCACGACTACGGGATTGGGTTCATAGACGGTCTGAAGCCCGTGATCGCGCAAAATTAGAGGCGCTTCGCCTTTCAGGGGATGACAACGTCAAGCCAGAAGACGAACAGACGTCAGATCAACATTTGGAAGAAGAATGGCACTTGCCGCATCCAACTACTCCCGATACGGTGCTGGACGGTGGCTACCAGCTTCCAGGAGACATATACCCGTACCTTTTCGATTACCAAAAGACAGGCGTCAAATGGTTATGGGAGCTGTACCAGCAACAGGTTGGCGGCATCATAGGAGACGAGATGGGCCTCGGTAAGACAATACAGGTTATTGCTTTCCTGGCTGGTATCCATTATAGCAAGAAGCTCAAAGGCCCCATCATTGTCGTCTGCCCACCTACTGTCATGAAGCAATGGGTTAATGAATTTCATCGCTGGTGGCCGCCTTTCCGTGTCTCAATACTACACACCTCTGGAAGCGGGATGGTCAATATCAAAAGTGAAAGCCAAGCTGAAGACAGATATACCTCTGGCGTCTGGGGGGACCGAAATTCTACCTCACAAAGAGGCAATAAGGCAGCTCGCCGCATCCTTAAAAGAGTCCTAGAAGATGGCCATGTATTGGTTACCACCTACGCAGGGCTGCAGACCTACTCCTCGCTTCTTATACCCGTAGACTGGGGCATCGCCGTGCTAGATGAAGGCCACAAGATACGTAACCCAGACACTTCAATTACCATTCATTGCAAGGAACTACGAACATCTCATCGCTTGATCCTTTCTGGTACACCCATGCAGAACAATCTTACCGAGCTATGGTCGTTATTCGATTTCGTCTTCCCCATGCGTCTGGGCACCTTGGTCAATTTCCGAAATCAGTTCGAGTTCCCCATCCGAACAGGAGGTTATGCAAATGCCTCCAACTTGCAAGTTCAGACAGCAGCAAAGTGCGCTGAAACACTCAAGGATGCCATAAGTCCATACTTACTACAACGATTCAAGATGGACGTCGCAGCGGATCTGCCCAAGAAGAGCGAGCAAGTTCTCTTCTGCAAGCTAACTAAGGTACAGAGAGCGGCGTATGAGGCCTTTTTAGCATCGGGCGAGATGTCATCCATCCTGCGTGGACGGCGAGAAGCACTTTACGGCATCGACATGTTGAGGAAGATATGCAACCACCCGGACCTAACACAGCATAAGATCCTGTCCACAAAGACAGATTACAACTATGGCAGCGGCGCGAAATCGGGCAAGATGCAAGTTGTCAAATCCCTCCTGGAGCTGTGGAAGGACACAGGTCATAAAACGCTTCTATTCGCTCAGCATCGAATCATGCTTGATATCCTAGAACGTTTCATTAGAGGGTTTGATGGATTTAATTATAGGCGTATGGACGGTAATACACCTATCAAAGTCCGTCAAAGCATGGTGGACGAGTTTAACAACGATCCCGACCTGCATGTGTTCCTCCTCACTACGAAAGTAGGCGGTCTGGGAGTAAATTTGACGGGTGCGGACAGGGTGATCATCTACGATCCGGACTGGAACCCTTCTACAGATGTGCAGGCTCGTGAGAGAGCATGGAGGCTGGGCCAGAAACGTGAAGTTACCATCTACCGGCTCATGACCGCAGGTACCATCGAGGAGAAAATATACCATAGGCAAATCTTTAAACAGTTCCTAACGAACAAGATTCTGCGGGATCCAAAGCAGCGCCAGACTTTCCAGATGAGTGACATACAGGATCTATTCACACTGGGTAACGATGGACCCACGGAGACCAGCCAGATGTTCAAGGATGCAGACATCGTGTATGAAGACGACGCAGCAAAGGGTAAAAATGCCAGATCTTCTGACCGCCAGCAACGACGCCGGCAACCCGAGAATAAACCAGTGAAAGAAGAAGACCAGAAAATCAGCCGAGTGACTGGCGTCGCCGGGATGGAAGAATATCACGACGAAACCAGTGGTCCTGGCACCCCTCAACAGGAAAAGGAGGCGGGAGGAGAATCGAAGAGCAAGACAGATGCCCGTCTGATGGAAAATATCTTCTCTCGTTCTGGGGTCCTCTCAGCCGTTGAACACGACCAGATAATACACGGAAAGCGAGCAGTCAAAGCAGATCCGAAAATAATCGAGACCGAAGCCAAGCGTGTCGCAGCAGAGGCAGCTAGGGAACTCCTCAAGGCAGAAGAGGTTGCTCGCACCGTACCAGCTGGTACACCTACTTGGACTGGCCAGTTTGGCACTGCAGGTCGTCCCGGTCTCGACGTGGCACCGGCCGGTACATCGTCTATCTATTCTGGCGGCGGGAGCACTGTCCGTCGAGCCATGGGCGGACCATCATCTGCCAGCCTACTTGCTAATCTCGCCAGTCGAAGTTCTGCAGCAGGCGGTAGAGCAGGCACTGCATCCGGCTCTGGATCCCCTTCTGCCTCCGCCTCTGCTTCAGCCCCTGCGTCGAGAACAGGCACACCGCGAACAAGCACACCGACGGGGAGAGACTTTCTGGTGATGATACGTGACTATATCATCACACATGGAGGAGCAGTGTACACGCAGATGCTGGTCGACCATTTCAACCGATTCTGCGACTCTCCCCGAGCCACGGCCGAGTTCAAGGAGATCCTCCGTACGATAGCCGTGCTGGACAAGTCAGGGACAGGGACGCGGGCGCGAGGTAAATGGGTCCTAAAGCCTGAGTATGCTAAGAAGTGACTTCATCTTGTAGCCAGCAGCCAAATAAAACCCTTGATCATCATCCATCGTCCTCTTCATCTTCCTCTCTCCATGTTTTCTATATAAAGAGTGTTGCATATGAAACCTGCGTATCAGGGGTAACCGTATTGTAACTTATTCACGTGACACACACCACTTTTTGCTTCTTTCAGCAGAGTTTTGGCTGTCCCAGCCGCGTATCGTACTGTCACGATCTACGATCCAAGAGCTTTTTTTCACTTCAAGACTCTGTCTCACTTTCTTTTCTTCTTTTTCCTCCTGCAACAGACAATAATAATATCTTCGACTCTCGCTTCGCTGCGTCTTTTGACAGGGCTGCGTGTTGCCTTTCTTCTCAGCTCTTCACGTTCTTTTAGTCCCGCTCGTTCCTGTTGCCCGCTGTTGCTGTGTGTTCGAGCGTTCGTTACCCATAACTACAGGGTACTAATAATAATCACCACCTTTTGCCGTTCGCCCTTCACGGAGCCTCCTTCGTCACCGAGGGCCGATTCAGCACGATTCAAAGGCTCATATTACGATATCATCAGCCTTACAGGTACAGAGGACTGATAGTCGAGATATTCTACGGTCGTTTTCAAAGTGCCTCCTCATCGAACAGCCTTCCAGCGAGGTCGACAAAGGCTGCCAACCCAAGGCAGCCGGCAGTTTCACCAGAGTCCCTTCAGTCGACCGAGAGCCCTTCTGGTAGACGATAGTACGTCAGAATGAGGTCGTTCAAATCCGCCTTCGTTTTCCTTTCGCTGGTTATACTAGTATCACTCGTTTCAGCATACGTACCTGCGCGGAACACCGGGATTGCCATAAGAGCAGAGGCAGCGTGTGAGTTTATTGCAACATCTACAACTACTTCAAGAGTACAAGCTGCTAACTTTTGACCCTAAACAGCCTCCTCAGGTGACTCGAGCCAGACAGACAAGCCGAGCCAGACAGGCGAGAATAACAGCGAGGCCACGGGGTCAGACAGCCAGAGCAACAGCCAGAGCAACAGTGACGAAAACACCAGCAACAAAGATAAACCCTCCCCAACTGATAAGAATGGAAGCTCCAAAACCAGTGACAAGGGAACCAAGACGACCAAAAAGCCCAAGACTACAGTTGACCCCCGTCTTCCACCCGGTGGCATTGTGATGGTTACTCCTGGTCCCTTTGACCCATCGACCTACGTTAAGATCGGAGCAAACGCTACATTTGCGTGGAACTACACCTCTCTCGAAATAACACCAAGTGCCGTTGATGTTGTTGCATACTGCTCGAAGAACGACCATTATTACACCATTGCTTCCAACCAGTCCGTTCAGGAAACCGGAAGCGCCGTCTGGGATACCAAGCCCTACAAAACTGCCTCTGTGCGCCTCTTAGTCGAACATTACACTCTGATTGTACACGACTCTAAGCGCGGCCCCACTGATGTTGCCCCAGCTGGTGAACTTGGTGTCTCCAGACCTTTTATCTTTGGAGTTTACGAGCCACATGACAACCCTAACCTCAAGAAGAGTATGCTTAGTCCTTGTTAGCCCCAAGCCTTTTACCTATACTAACACCTTTATAGAACGGACTATGGGAAGTGCTGCTATCTCGACCACCGATCGTCAAGCTGTCTGGTTCATGATGGGAATGGTTGGAATCACCATTGCGTCATTTACCTGGTTTGCCAGCGGACTAGGCTTATTTGCCTAAAGAGCCATGATTCCAGCCCACATCTATTGACACGACCTTTGTTCCGAACTAAAAATATCTACAACATTTTAACTACCCTTTGAGCCATTATTTACTGATGCCCATCTGTTTGATTGAGATTGATATTGCGAGCGACGTTTTCTTCTATTTTCCTTTTCTTTTCTTGTTTCACCTATTCTTATGCTTGTTTCAACTACGGATCTAACAACGCCTTCTAAGATATAATTCCCCCCGTTTTCTCTTCTCCTTCTACCCTTCGATAATAGTTCACTTGATAAGGCTGGGCTGGGCTGGTTGAGGCTGTATATAATCATCTGTCCGTCTGTATCTTTGGTGTGGAGTTTTTTGTGCTTCGGGTTTTGATTGAAATAAGGACGTTTTTTTCACGCAGAAAAGCAAGAATTTCTTTGCAAAACAATACTAATAATCATTTCGGCCCTCTCAGTGTTAGCCAGACCCATACCGCAATTAGGCTTCTGGGGCAAACATGTGGCTTTTCTTGCGTAGGCTATCAAATTATGTACCTGCATTGTTGCCGTAAGCATGCGCCTAGCTTTAAGCTCTGCGTGACAAACAAACCTGCATTTACCATGCGTGGCAGAGGAAGGGCTGTGGAGTTCAGCGGATGCATCCTGTTGGTGAAGACATTTGTATTTTGGCCGGCTAGGCCTGCTAGCTTCCTGCTGTCAAGCTGCCAATTTGAAGGGGAGGCCGATGTTTGTTTTGCGGATAAATCAAAGTTGATTCCAAATTACGAGTATGAATAATCATCAAACTACTTCCCCATGACCAAATATAGACCCAGCTCCAAAGTCAAAAGTAAACAGCGTGATAAATGACTACATCGCTATATTTGGATGTTTGCTTTTTGGCCAAATAAAAGCATGGATTTAGATATATGTGATTAGGTAGATAGATGAGCATATAGGTACGGAGTATGAAGGGGTAGTACTGAACAGTCATATGCTAAACAAATTGCGGTCCTTTGTTTAAATGGCGAGCGGTGAGATGCAGGTATGTATGTGTGTTGTTATCCCAAGATGATAGATTAGTTTGCCTGGGCCTCCCGATGGCTATAAAAGTCCTGATGTAGAATGCAGTAATTGGAGATGGGAGGAAAAACAAGCCAAATATAGCGAAAGACCAACTGGCCTGAAGATTGTTCTCTGTCTGACCCAATATCTATCGACAGCCGAGTAGGATCGTCGCGAGAAATCATAAGAATATGTTGTTCTATCGTCCACGTCACCAGATTGGCTGGATATGGCCCAAGGACCCTCAACCGGGAAACCCGCTTAAATGGCCGATGGGAAGAAGGCTGAAGGACGTCTTGACCAACAAAGGCCCGGATATGTTTATCGGACGTATCGATAGAGCAAGCCCAACCCCGCATACACCTCGATGGTCGAGATGGCACGATATATACAGCTATCCAGGCGATGGTGACAAGAGCATGTTACCACCCATCCTGCCATTTTCTGACCGAAAGCTGCAAAGATATGACTTTCGAACGAGAAAATATCGTAACGTGGATGAGAAGGCCTGGAGCTTCGTGGAATATCCAGATCCTGGTGAAACAAACAGTGTGAATACGCCAGTCACCGTCTGGGACGTGAATGGCATCAAATATTCATACCCCCATTGGCAGCTTCATTATGGAGAGGGGTTTGGAAATGCACACTAGAGGTTTGATGCTCCGTTGAGTGAGAGATCAGATGCATTGCGGATGGAACGGTTCCCAGGCCGTCTTGCAGTCGCCGTTGGATGTAGTTACTGCTTTTGGTTTTCTGACGGTAGGAAGCTGGGCGTTGGAGTTAATCATTTTTTTGCATGAGACACATGGGGATCTCTTTATGTCCGCGTACGAAGCAAGCATATCCTATTGTAATGTGTTAAGTGAGATGTACGCGAGAGTTGATATGTATTCATCAACGTACCAGAAGATATTGAAGGTCCCACTGCCGCTGCCGTGACTGAATGCAGCCCAAGATCTCAGTAGCTAACTTCGACTGGTTCTGTTGGTGACCAGTGCTAACATGCCACATTTCTGAATTGTCTCCGGCAATGCCACTGGACATCTGAACGTGGAAAGTAGTCGATACGCTCTGTATGTCCATGCAAAACTTCTTGGTTTCATCAGAGGGTATAATTTGCATATTGATACCCGGTATATTTTTGCTCTTGAACGATTCGACAATATCTTTCCAAGCCCCGACTGTAGATTCTAGCTTCTGTTTCTCAAATGCGTCTTGCTGTATAGCCTTCATCTCTTCCATCTTCTTTTCCTCCTGGTCAAGGGATGCAAGGGCTTCCTCGTAATCGCACTCCCACATGTTGTTCATGTAGGGGTACTCACCATTCCGGTCCTTGAGCCTCGCATCCACCCGATCCAGGATGGTAGTCATCTCAGGGGAATTCCAAGAAGACTTGAAGCCCTCAATCTCTGCCATGCAGCTGGGAATTGATTGGGACAGTTCCTGAAATAGTTCTTGGGGAGACTTTTGGTACTTGTCACACCCTGGAGGCTGGTTGATGATAGATTTCAGAGGGCCTAGTAGACGCCCCGGAAGAAGGTCTCGCAGTTGGTTAATCTATACTTGGTCAGTATAGATACATACGTAAACATAAAGGCCCCTATGAACCTCGGAAATGTTAAGGCCCTTAGGGGCAGAGCGGTGCTGTATGTCCACTTACTCTACCGTGCATTTGCTGTAGGGTACAGAGAGCAGTCAGGAGCCGCCGTTCATCATCCCAGCTTTCTGGGTCCTTGGAGTCTGCCATCTGCAAGTCCTCTGCCGGTTCCGACTTGACTACGCTACCGTCTACCGCCATGCTCGGAGGAGGCGGTGCATTCGCTAGGCTGGCAGCTGTGTTATTGCTAGCTGTCTGGGAATCCATCTGCCACTTCGTCGCAGTCGACTCTCTCTCGCTGTTTAGTCACGGGGTATCACTGGATGATCGGATATAAGGAATTATTCAAAAAGCCAAAGAATAGGGCCTAGCCACGGCTTTCCCGCTCATCCGCCCTGTCGTGATCCTCTACTGCTTGGTATTGTCGTCCGTTTTCCTTTTGCATGTGTTGCTCCAAAATGAATCGATGAGGTCAAAAAATAGATATCACGTGAATTAAGGTGCTTAGTAAGACCCGCCGCGGCCTTTCCTTGCGAACTTCCGACTCTTCTTGATCGCTGGCGAACTAACTAACTAGTTAAGCGAACTAGTCGAGACTCGCGGTTAGCTATCTCTGTTAATGGCGGTCAACTTGCCTGAGAGACGACTTATATTCTGCGCTATATTTCCTCTTGGTCAGTGACGAGACGGGAGTTGTTGGCGGCTGTGCTGCAAAGAGGTGAGTGAAGGCCACCTTGAGGACCCACGGATTTGCCCGCTGACTGATATCATAAACTTGGCAGCTTGCGATCTCTTATCGGTGCCACGCTATCTCATGACAAACTGCACCCGACTCATAACATTCCACTGCCTGAAGAAGACGGACAAAGACGAGGACGAGACTAAAGACGCTGTTCGCTGTTTGTGCGGTGCGAAGTTTCCACCTTAGACCGCCTTGGTATCATAGGGAACGGGGTTTACTCCAAGTTGTGGCTGGGCTGTGATGCTGTCATCGCAGTCTTTGCAGTCCTCGCCGGCAACCAGTACATCTGCTTTGGCCTCAGATGCTGCCTCTGGAATACACCATGATGGTCTAGGAAACCACCAGACAGACGGACCTTGCTATTCAACGCTGGAGAACCGCCTGCGTTCACGATCCATCCAGTTCAACACTTCGAGGACAGACGCAGCACTGCGGGAACGATCAACAGCCAGCTCAAGGAAGAGCAGCTTGAGGAGACTACCATCTCCACCGCCTCCAAGGTACGTGAGTCTTTCCCTGAGCTGAGGATGCCGTTTTGCTTTTTGCCTGTGTTTCTACATTCTATTCTATTTATCCCATGCCCGTCAGAGTTGCTTGAACGCTCTAGGCAAGTGGAATGAAGTGCAACATGGACCCCTGGTTTTCAGGCATCTGCTTGAGTGCCTTAGCTCGCAGCGTCTCTATAGTCTGCTAGCGATATACACGCTATGCGTTTGTGTTGGTTTGCTTGCATAACGCTTCTAAATTCCAGAGTTCGAGATGTGGGTGCCCCGGCCCGCTGCGAACAAAGATCGACGCCCCTTGTCAAACCAGTGCCTTACCTGGTTGAGATATATAATTTCTACATATACCTTCATTATCTTTTCCTTTGGCGAACCTTGAGCTTTGAATGCGTTTCTCTGGCCGATGAATCGCCTGACCATTACCTGTACTAATGATTCCCCTTATTCTCAGCGCCTATAACCGTGGAGTCTCCTTTGATACCTTCGACAACAGAGATGCCACCGAATTCTCGTTGACGTTGAACTACAAACATAAAGATTACAGGAATACGCGCCGCAGTCGGACCTTCCTTTGCGGCACTGACCAGAACGATTATTCGGACTTTGCTCTGGAATGGCTTATCGACGAACTGGTAGACGACGGAGATGAGGTTGTTTGTCTACGGGTTGTGGACAAAGACTCTAAGATTGCGAGTGATTCCGGTGTTGAAGAAGGCAGATATAGACAGGAGGCAGAGAAGCTACTTTCGCAGGTGATTGCAAAGAATAAACACGATGAGAAGGCCATAAGTTTGGTCATGGAACTTGCGGTTGGTAAGGTTCAGGAGATCATTCAGCGGATGGTACGTTGGTGTCTATCTATACCAGACAACGCATGTAATAACTAACCTTATCGATTAGATTCAAATATACGAGCCTGCAGTACTTATTGTAGGCACCCGAGGCCGTAGCCTTAAGGGGATGCAGGGTCTACTTCCTGGTTCTGTATCGAAATACTGTCTGCAACAATCGCCTATTCCCGTCATAGTTGTGAGGCCATCGAGTAAGCGGGAAAAGAAGAAGCAAAAACGTTTGGCTGCCGACCCCGCCAGAAAGAGTTACAGTCAATTTTTGAAGATGAGTGAGTCCCGAGGGGGCTTGGGCATTGATAGTTCACCCAGTGGGAATAGCAGCACTTCCAAACTTCCTGGCGAAGAGGAAGAGACAGGCGAGCCTTCAACCGTAGCCAACACCATTATAGCTTCCTCCACCAATGGAGACACCGAGGAGAATGGCCATGATCCCCAGTCTTCTACGCCAAAGGGCTCCTCCGGCGATGCCGGTAACGACGATGATGACGACGACAATAACGCGGCCGGAACCAGAAGAAATTCTACTGTCACGGAAATTGAATCACCTCTAAAAAGCCCGTCTTGTCCTGTCCTGGAGAGCCCCAACATGAGCGCTAATGAAGATGAAGAGGACGTTGAAGACGAGGATGATGATAACGATGGAGGTGAAGGTGATATTACCTACACAGATACAAGTTCTCGGTTGACTTCTGCAACGTCGATTGCAGATACAGACTCCAAGGGCGATTCAGCGGAGGAGACATCCGCATCTCAGTGTGGTGATACACCAACAAACATGGAAAGCAAGGATCGTACGAGCAATAGCAATGGCAGTGCGGATGAGACCCAGGATGGTGGTAGTAACATCGACCTGCCTAATTATGATCCTGCAAATCCTAGCTCCACTGAGGATTCTGCCTTAGCTCATGTCCCCGACCTTGCTGGACAATCAGTTGATAAGTCGTCAGCATCAGGGGCAACATAGTAATTTCGATCTGGTCCTGATGTTATATAGCCATCGCCACAAATCACTTGCTGGATTGGTTATATTTCCAAGTTTCGCAACAACTCATACATTGATGGCCCTACACCCGACCATCACTCCGATATACATACTGCGCTGGCTTCCACCCTCTAGTTGGATACAAGATCCAAATGCCCCCTCCTCTCCTCAAGTCAAGGTTTTTTCTCTCCTGCAGGCATCATCAGATGCTAACCCCTTAGCTCGACGCTCCACGTCCTCTGGTTTTGTTCTCTTCCCACGTAATGCAACTGTGCAATTTTGGCGTTCAGATGGCCGGGAATTGATGCCGGTTATCCAGGCTGGTTGTTTCTCTCTTTTCTTTTTCTTCTTTTTCTTTTGTTTCTATGAATTTTCTGTAGGAAATTTAAGCCTTTATTTCCATTTCGCTCCGTAACTCCGTAATCCACGACGTAAACTTCGTATATTCGATTCTCATGTACAGCCCCAGCCGGCCGCGACGGGCTTTCCCTTGCCTCGTTCTGTTCTCAATGTAGACGTAATTTTTTTTTTTTTTTTTTTTTTTTTTTTTCTATGTTCTTTACTTTTTATTTTCTCAGGATAAAAAGAAATTCCACTGGTTTCTCATGTATATGCAGTTTTACCCTGTCACAAACCTTCGGGCCATGAACACATCCTCGAAAGTCCTATCCCTGTCTCGCCTACTCTGCATATCATGGCTGAACTATTCAAAGTTGTTTCCCCAACCCACATTGGCGCATGTACTGGATCTCAAGCATCTGGCGGCTGTTGCTTGCGGGCTCTTCTGGTTGGCTTGTTGGAGGGGAGACGAGGGGGGGAAGATGATGATGACTACCAGCATTCGTGTTGCTCCTCAGCCCCCTCACCGACTGGGGCTTACTATCAAACGATTGCGTCTTATCCGCTTCTTCTTCTCTTCCTCCCCTGACTCCTCAAAATTTGGTCTGCTTACTTCCTTCAGGGGGGAAAAACGAGGTTTCTGGTTGGTCGCATCACGTGAAGAGCGGAAAGGGGATCCTCCCTAGCTAGCTAATTTCGACCTCACGCCATCAACCTTTGTCCACTCACTCTCTCACGGAATATTATTATTCGTTTTGGAAGATCTTTCGAGCTCGGAATTTTGTTTCTTTTGCAAGTCAAGTCCAGACGGAGATATTGAAGCCGGCCTGGCGAATAATGACAAGCCCGGGCTGCATGATTCATCCTGAAGCAAACCTTGCTTGAGGGCTGTCGACATCTCACAGGCCAAATGATTGGTACCATCAAAGGTCATTCCAAGCCACCCGCTCGAGAAGCCTGCATGGGCCGTCATGGGGCCGGGCCAAGGAAGACGCATTGACTTATCTATCGGATCGGGCGGACACATCTGCAAAAGCAGGTCAATAATACTATGTGGAACAGGTCAATTGAGGAGGGGGAACATGCTGGAACTGGCATGGATCCGTTAGTTACCTGGGTCAATTGCTTCCAGTGGAAGCGATTGGCATGCAGCATCTAGGGGCTACATAATAATGAGATGTGTTCCTGTCATGCATCGAAGACCGTATATCCGTGCCATAGCTGTCAACCCCAATACATAAGTACTTACGGAGTACTCCGTATGCTGTGGAGAAAGTGAGAAGGTTGATGCAGACTCGAATGCATGTTTCTTTGGAGTCCCTGCAACTCAACAGTCACGTCGATTTTCGCATAATTTCGAGGTACTGTCTACTTGTATCCTCAAGTCAGGTCATTGGAGTGAACAAAGCAATCAACTGGTTAGCTTTCAGGCTAATTGACTAGTTGGCCTCATATAAAATCCCGACTTTTTATACTAAACTAGGAATAATCAGGCTGGACTCCTCTCTGTTTGCTCAACTGAGCAATGCTTATAGTTTCTTGTTTTCCGGGTCTTGTTGATTTTCAGTATTTTTCATTGATTTTATTTTCCTCTCTAACTAACTAACTTTTGCTTCCATCCTGCGCCTTTCCAGCCTATCGGATACGAACGACCATATGAATAATTTTCAAAGATTCCCTCCTGGCCAGCGGTGTGGACTCGAATATCGACTTGACTAGTTGAAGCTTACTCAGCTAAGAACCAATAAACACCCATATCAACCCTACTCAAAGCAGAGGCCCATCAAACGGGCCGATCCCTTGGACATGGCAATGATGAGTTGAAGCCAATGGCTTGTTATTATTACGATCTTGTGTGTCCTTGCCTTTCTACCGCTCGTTGTTTTTACTGAAGCGTTGTTTTACCTGCAGTGCGTCTTACACATCCAAGTCTTGAGTGTGGCGCACGGTGGTAACTTATGCGCCCCAAGGGTATTCCTGGAATATGGCTCCTCCATGCACCTAATGTTAGGAACGTTTCTTGCAATTGACCCACAAAGGACTCCTCCCTCCAGCTAAGCTCAGGAGCTTCCAGCTGAGATTCAAATTTGGGCTTTTTCCATCTCGAAGGTTTGCGGATTACAAAATGAATGGGTTCCCGGCCTCACCCCTCCATTTTTAGGCATGGCAATGCTGATGATTGTCTGAATCTTTTGACTACCAACGGCCAAACACTCTCAAGCAACAAACATTCGTTGGTTTTGAATAGGACAATCATCTCAGGTCGACTCGCGGAGACAGTATGCCACCCTATCTCTCAACACAAGCGGGTTTCCCCCTCCCTGTCGATCAATTCGAAAACCACCCAACTTCTAAAGTCCCGATTGTCCAAGTTAAAGAAGAGCTTGCGCAATTTTGCTTTGAGCTGCCCTCGGATCTAGAGGACTTCCGTGCCAAATCTGGAATTACCTCCCTCCAAATCCTCCTTGCAGGGTGGGCGATCACGCTTCGTTACTATACTGCCTCGGAATCCGTGACAGTTGGGAATATAGTATGGCATTGCGACGGGTCATACTGTAACGGACAATATGAGGTGGGGCTGGACGACGATACGCCTCTACTTCGAGCTGTTGAACAGTTTAGACACCAGTCAGACTGTGACTCTCGTGATAGCAATAGCACTTCACCCGACACACTAATGGCTGATACTTTTGTGATACAAAATCTTTCAACTTCAGCGCTTCCATTTAATCGCAGCCCTGTCTTTAATATAAGAGGATGTAAAATTCCCACCTCAGTAAGTGTCTTATGCTGTACACAATGTACATAATAACGGCGATTATCTAACATATATATAATTTGACAGCATACCATCACCGTTGACATAGTCAACAACGGGCTCAGGGAGCAAGTGGAACTAGACATATACCTCAATGAATCATGGGGGAAGCACATAGTCAATATGTCGAGGACTTTTGAGCAGGTTGTATCTGAGATGCTTCGCAAACCTACCGGAAAATTGGGAGATTTGGACCTATGCAGTGCCTGGGATATTACGACGCTGACTACCTGGAATGGCGAAATATCAATTGAAGGCTCTGACAAATGCGTCCATGATATGATTAGTCTGCGTTGCGCTCAAGATCCGAATTATACCGCCATTCAATCCTGGGACGGAAACATATCATACGGAGAGCTTGATGAGCTTTCGTCTGCTTTAGCAGTACGACTGGTAGCTTCACATCCAAGCATTGGACCGGAAACATTCATACCGCTGCTCTTTGAAAAATCTAAATGGACTGTGGTATCTCTACTCGCCGTGATCAAAGCTGGTGCCGGATTTGTACTGCTAGATCCTTCTCTACCACTCAAACGTCTTGAAGATATCTGTCGTCAAGTCAAAGCAACCGTGGTCATTACTTCTCCTCAGCATTCTGTTCTCGCTAGCACTTTGGAAACCCCAATATTTATTGCCAGCGAAAAAACAATTGGAACACCTACCCCGTTGGATTACCACCGGACTTCGGCCCAGCCTACAAATCCACTCTATGCAATTTTTACCTCCGGCTCCACTGGAAATCCGAAGGGAATTGTCATTGAACATGGCTCTTTCCTTTCTAGCGCCCTTGCATATATTAAGACTGTGGACTTAAATCGGACATCCAGAGTCTTGCAATTTGCATCTTATGCATTCGATGTTAGCGTTTCTGATATCTTGTACAGTTTACTATCTGGTGCTACGCTTTGTATCCCTTCTGATGCCGAGCGTAACAATAGCCTGGTAGAGTTGATTGACCGTTTGAAGCCGAATTGGATGGATCTCACCCCGTCTTTCTTGAGATCTCTCTCACCTGCGGACCTTTATACCGTCAGGACTATTGTTCTAAGCGGGGAGGCCATGACTCAAGATGTCATTGCTAAATGGGATAGCGAAGTACGCCTCCTTAATGTATATGGGCCAGCTGAATGTTCTATTCAGTCTACTGTCCAGACTGTTGTTGCAGCTGACCCGGTAAACATTGGTCATGCCATCACCGGAGCTTCCTGGGTAGTTAGTCCATCAGACCATAACCGTCTGATGCCGATAGGCGCCATTGGAGAGCTTCTGATCGAAGGGTCCCACGTTGGGCGAGGTTACATAGGCAACCCAGAAAATACCCAAAAGGTCTTCATCAAAAGCACAGAATGGCTACCGGGGTTCCGAAAAGACCACCAGGCGCTTTATAAGACCGGTGACCTAGTACAATACCAGCCAGATGGCTCTATGCGGTATATTGGTCGAAAAGATACCCAGGTGAAGTTACGTGGGCAGCGTATTGAGTTAGCTGAAGTTGAGCATTATGCTCGCGAATGCTTTAGTGAAGCAAGGGACGTTGTGACAGAAATGGTTAAACCTCAATACGAAGGTGGGACCCCGATGCTCATTGCTTTCGTCCATTGCCCGAAAGATCATATTGGGCAGAATGCCAGTCAGTCCAGAGAGGAGGCCATATTTGCCAAACCGGACGATTGTTTCCGTGACCGCAGTGCTAATGCCAGGGAAAAGATGGCCAATAGCCTCCCAAACTATATGATTCCAACTATATTCATCCCACTGGCCCGTGTCCCCCTTTCGGCTACTGGGAAAACAGATAGAAAGCTCCTACGATCTCTAGCTACTGCTCTACCTCGGGTTAATCTGGACTCTTACTCTATGAATATCAACAAGTCACGAGTCCTGCCGTCAACCGATATGGAAAAATGTCTTCATTCGGTTTTTGCGGAAGTCCTCAACCTGGCTCCAGAAATGCTCAGCATTGATGATGACTTTTTCCGTAGTGGTGGGGATTCCATTACTGCTATGCAGGTCATCACTCAGTGCCGTAAACAAGGGGTTGTCCTAGCTCTCAGTGAGATCTTCCGTTTAAAGACAATAATGAAGATTGCAAAAGGGGCTACATTTGGGGCTACCACCACCCTCTCACGTCAGCAACAAGAGGACCACATCGGAGTTCCATTTGGTTTATCTCCAATTCAAGACATGTATTTCGAAGACTGCCCTGAAGGACACAACGACTTCAACCAAAGTTTCTTCCTTGCATTTGCCCGCCCTGTTGG